GCGCGAGGCCCCTCGTAGGTCTCAGGCCACAAGGTGCCATTGCGAAACGCCACGCTGACGTAACCAAAGCTGAGCGGAGAAGACATGCACCAAGGTTCAAACGTGCCTGAATGCGACAAATCTCGAACCTTCCTGAAAGAACGAAGGACCGTTGCTCATCCGTAAAAGGATATGGCTTGTCCAAGAGCTGCCGTGGTGAACACACGCGCACAAAAGCCAAGAAAAGTCCTCCAAAGCACCACATAGAAAACAAAGAAGCAAAATCGTTAAGCTTCATTCCAAAATTACGGCATAGACCCCGGATAAGTACAGGTTTGACATCCCTGGCACAACATGATCTCATTCTGGGCATGACATGATGTCATCCCTTGCGTGGCATGATGTCATCCCTAGCATCACATGATGTCGCCCCTGGCATGACATGATGTCATCGCTGGCATGACATGATGTTGTCCCTAGCATGACGTGATGTCACCCCTGGAATGACATGATGTCATCCCTGGACCAGCACGAACGAAACGCCGATCCAGAGCCACACCATTGAGAAGTGAGAACCCCTTGGCTTGCAGAAGCTATCTGGGCCAAAACACCGATCCAGAGCCAGCACCTGCACCTGCATCAGCACGGCAGCAGCACCTGGCCGATCCACAGCCAGCACCTGCACCTGCAACAGCATCAGCACCGCAGGCTATAGGGGCTCTAACTTCTCAATGGTGTGGCTCTGGATCGGAGTTTTCGTTTTGCGGGTGCTGCTGCCCTGCTGATTCTGGTGCAGGTGCAGGAGCTAGCTTTGGATCAGCGTTTTGGTTTTGCAGGCTGATGCTGTGGCTCTGGATCGGCGTTTTGGTTTTGCAGGCGCTGCTCGCGAACAGCCAGACGAACCATTGCTGGAGGGACATAGCGTGATGCAAGAAATGCTGTTTACTTTCGTGGTCGGTCTGCCGCCCAGGTAAACTTATATTTTTTGTGGTATTACCGGGCCCTGGTAGGTCGTAGAACGTATGAACCGCTCCAAGTGGAAAAAACTCTCCAGTATGATGCAGATGGGAGTGGGTGCCCAAATCATAGCTTAGGTGATCCGACCCAAATGACTACTGCCAGGCATGTTGTCTATATTTGTATGTTTAGTGGCCTTGGGGAATCATAGGGCTGGTCTCCGCAAGTGACTGGCACGAGGCATGTTCTATATAGATATTCATGAAACTATACATGTATGTGAATATGTATAATATATACAGTAACTCTTTCAGCCATGTTGATTGAGCTGCTGCAACTCTTCCTGGTGGGACAACCTTCACTACTGTGGTGATATGGGTTGCTCGAGGCCCTGGTCTTACTTTGGGCGTCCTACTAACTGCCGGGCATTTGGCTTTTGTCACTGGTTCATTATCTGCAGCGTCTACATATTTCGGCCATGTTGAAATGATATTGAAACTAAAAGCAGCGGTCTTGGGAAATCATAGGGGCTCGTCTCAGCATGGTACGAGGCACGTTCTATAAATGGATACATGTGTACAGTCACATAATTGCTTCGGCCATGTTCACAGGTCAATAGACTGCCTTTGGACTAGCCATGCGTACTACTATCGGGTAGTAATGATGCTAGTGATGCAATACCTTCATCACCTTGCATCTTTTGTATGATCAAGCCACCAAAAATCACCTTTGTGGGAAAAAACACTAGCAGGCTAACATGGTTTACATATACTTTTCCCTGTCTCCCCCCACACCCCCAAATACGAACTTTGTTCGCAGAACTAACTTCAGCCTAGCCTATCGGCTGGCTTTCGTAGTATATTTACATAGCTAGTTGCTTTAATGAGGTTTAATGCATATGCTTGTCTGTTTGTCATTGCATTCGACAGACTGTGGTGGATGCTCACAGCCACAAACCCAAAGATCTAAGGATCGGTTGGACTGCCGCCTTGCAGACTCTTCCAGCGGAAAATTGCTGTCATGCTTGTTTCAAGGCACTTGGTGGAAATCATTCAAGGGGAGTCTTGACATGTCTTGACTCTTCAAGTGGAAGTCAAAGAGCGCTCCTCTGCTTCCTTTTGCTTCCTCAAGGCCTGGCAGGAAAGGCTGGCTTTCTTTTCTTTTGTGTAAACACCGAGTCTTCAAGATACGAGACGGGAACGGAAATGCGAATGGACATGGACCGTGATGGTCATCTGACGAAAAAAATGTTCACAAAAATTAAGTAATACTGACTTAAAAAATGAAGACTCGGTCCTGGCTGAAAGATCCTTGGCTGAAGAAGCCACTCTCACAAATTCCGTCAAATCCTTCAAATCCTTCTGTCCTAGATAAAATATACTGCCTCTTCTCCGGGAATTTGTTTGATCGCCTCCAGCGCCACCTATCTTGATCCCTGCATCTCCCTGCCTCTTCCTTGGCCTTCTGCGCCTCTTGCCTTCTCCAGGCCTCCTCCGCTTTCCTCAGCTGCTCCGCCGCCTGCTGCTCGGCCCGCTGCTGTTCCTCCTGGCGCTGGCGGCGTGTGCGCTCGTCCTCCTCCCAGCGGCTTTGGACCAGTAAGAACATCTCCTGCGCAAAGTGCTGCTCACCTGAAGACAGGGCCCCGCACGGCACGCAGCTCGATCGAACACGATGGAACAGCTCGAAGCACCTCGGAGGAACGGATGGATTTCGGTTTGGAGGTGACGGAATGGGAAGAGAGGCCAACACTTTGTGCGGCACCTGTGTCCCCCAATCACATGACACCTTCGGAATGCAAGCACACTTTCGCCAGCCTCTCGCCTTCTTGCTTGCTAAGCACCGCAAGGCTCGATGTTGTTGATCTGTAGAATCCACAAAAAAACTACTGTAATTACTATACACCGCTCACTAAACTCACACATTGAATGCATGACTACCACACCCCTCAGCTACCAACCGAACGATCCCTACACCGCCTGCAGGGTGCTTGTCTGGGTGGAACTCCAGCTGCAAGGCCCTCAACCGCACGCGCCGCGCCGTGGGCCCTAAGAAGTCCACTGAACCCAGCTCCTGGCCGCGTGGGAGGTCCTTCCTCGACTTGCAAAGCACTCACTCGTTGAGTCGCTTGCACAATGCCGCACATCAAAACCATGTTCTCACCAAATGCCACCAACGAACAAAATATATACTATGCCTACGCCATCTATCACATGTATGATCACTACTTGCAAATACTTGCAGCGCATTATTCAATCACTCTGGGCCCTATAGGCCTTATCCATGCCCCTCTGCTCACTTCCCCTACTCCGTCGCCTCCAGCAACCTCCTGCGCCGACTGTTCCAGGTCGCCACCACATCCAGCGCTCTGTAGGGCGACGCTGCCGGCGCTGGCTCCCCGGGCGGCCGCAGCGGCGGCTCGCTCGGCTCGCTGGGTGGAGCCGGGCGGCCTGGAGGTGGTTGGGAGGATTGGCGCCAAATCTGAGGAACCCGGGCGCGCAGGCTCTATGTTGATTTGCTTGCCCTATTTGATGATCTTGGAAGGATTTTGGTGCTGGGATGGCTGGAAATGCAGATTTCGTAGCAGGCGCAGCACTTTGTGAACCTCGGAGCGCTGGTACGTTGGTTCCTGCCCTAAGTTTGGCCCTCAACAGGCTTCTAAAGTCTGCCCTCGGGTGGCTCACAAAAGGTATGCTCTGTTTTCAATGGCACTTCCTCCTCTAAATTTTGCCCTCGCGCGGCTTACAAAAGGTATCCTACGACGATTCAACCCCTAAAATCTCCAAAGTTCAACCTCGGGTGGCTCACAAAAGGTGCGCTATGTTGGAATGGCTATGCTCATGGGTTTCCGAAATCTCGCCCGTCCTGGCGGCTCACAAAAGGTATGCTACGAATTGCTCCATCGCTCTTTCCTCCTCTAAATGTTGCCTTCGTGCGGCCATGCGGCTGAGAAAAGGTATCCTACAAGACAACACCCTCCAGGTATCCTCGACTTTAACCTTGGATGGCTCAAAGTCTGGTGTGCGTCGCGTTGCAAACGTTCCTCCAAATGTTGTTTTTGCTCAGCGCTTGAGTGGGCACTGTCTTATGTGCACATCCGCCATGGAGGAAAAAATGATTGTTGGTGCTAGTGATCATCCCAGTTTTCCTCTCAATGAGAAAGGTTTTGATTTGGAAGGCATATTTGCTTTCAACAGCAGGTCTGTGGCCTTTTGTCGTGAGGATAGCCTCCGGGTCAGAAAATCTCACGGCGTGTGGGCGAGCTGGATCTGCTTTGGTACGAAAGCAGGGTATGCCTCGAGCAATCCCCTGTTGATGATGCTGCGCAGTGTGGCTTTGCGACAGAAACGCACCCCGGAAACTCAACTTAGCCGGTGCTTGCGGCAACAGGAGGGCTCCATCTTAGTGTAGTGATGGTATTTGAATGTGTTTGTCATGGTTGCTTGCAATAGCTCTAGGCAAACGAGCAACGCATGGCCGCATGGCAGAGGGTCCAGTTGCGTCTTACCTGGTTGACCGAGGGAGGGGTCAACCGTGCTCCGGGTGCCATGACCCACGGCCACCATGGAAACGCAGAATGGCCCCCAGTAGTTTCTTCTCAAAGAGGCAGGCGCGGAAGTTCCATGGTCTCTGACCCAAGCAAGTTCTGCACAGTGACTGTGAAGGAGAGCGCCTGTGCTGTAGCACAGCGGCGACTTCCGTGAATCGTTCGCGGCTTTGTTTCGCCCACTTGGTCAGGAACCTTCAACACCGGATAGGTTTCTCAGTCTGAAACGCGGAAAGTTGTGCTGGGCTTGGCTAGGCCAGACCAACACGCCCAAACCATGAATTCCTCATGGTCACAACCTCCATGAATCGCCCTTCAACAGCACCCCACTCCGAGCCTCGACGGGCTGGGTCGGCCTCATTGCGGCAGGTGTCGCACCATTGGCAAAGCTCCTCCCAGTCCTCATTGTCCTCCAGACATTTGCTGCACTCCTCAGGCGAGATTTTTAGGGCTCCCTTCCAACAAATGCCCGTGGAGAGTGGCTTGGAGAGTGTTCCATGTTCGATCGTGGGTGCGGCTGAGAATGAGGGGATTGAGGGGATGGATTGTTGGACTTATTCGGAATCATTCTGGACTCAGCGACTCAGCCCCCTTTGCTCAGCCCAAGGCTCCCACTTTGCCATCACACCATCCCACTCAGCGCGCTTGGCGCGGAACGGCCCGCAGGAACAGTGCGCGGGAACGGGGGGGTATGGGTTTCTTAGGTTGAGCCCATGTGAGGCGCAAGGCTGGGATCATTTCCTTGAACTCCTTTCGAGCCTAGCTCTTCGGACTTTTGTGGTACTTCCCATATGTGGACTCGCCAGTCTCCTGTCTTGCATGTCTTGATGCTTTTCATGCTTGAGAGTGCTTCTTCGCGCCTCCCTGCGAGGAGACGCTTCGACACGAGGACCATCTTGATTTTTTGGGACTTACTTACCTGAAAAAGGATTGAAAGAGCTGTTGGAGAGAATTTACATATAGATTATATAAATTGAAACGTAGTAGGTCAATATCCCCTACGTCTCCGTTCTTGGTAGTCTGGATGTTGACTAGGCCCACTAGGGTACCTGGCTTTTTGTTGCTTCATGTGACCAGCAACTTATGTCTTTTTGGGGGGCTTGACGAGCCAGTCCGCAGGATCGGCTGGTGCGCCAGGGGAGCAGGCTCATGGCCCATTACCTCCAGCATCATAAGCCCATTGTATGAAGGATTTTTGTTTGTTTGGTCCATGGGTAACTTGCAAAGATTGGTCTAGAATCTAGAAACTTTGGTCAGTTTGTGGTGAGGGCCAGCTGAATACATGTAGAAGCTGTTTTGAACATCAACTATGTCTTGGCATAAAGTGCTCAACCACAAGTGAGGATGTACTTCAGCTCCCGGAGTCTACAGCCTACATGTTTTGAGCCACTGCCAGCTCTCCAGACTTGGGCTTGGCACCCCAACCCCTGCGGCACAAAAGGGATGGCCGTGATCCAAGCCCTCGGTGAGCTGCACGCCGCACAAAGTTCCCAGGCTTAGAAAAAGAGCAATTGCGTTTTTTCCGGTTGGCAAGTGACCTGTAATTACGGCAGAACAGCACACCCTTCGATGCTTTGAGATCTGTTTGGAGTTTGTTGGAGATGGACCTCCTGGCAGAAAAGCCAAGAGGAGCTACTCCCTTCCAAACAAATGCCAATCACCGGCATCTCCGGCCTCCAATGCGAGAACCTCTTCAACCATCACTGGGCAGGCAACCTGGACGGCGCAGCTTCTGCGAAAAGAGAACACGACCCCGCCTTCACTTTGCTTTTGCCTGCACCACGGTCGTGGTTCGGAACTTCCCTTTGCACCCACACACCCAGTTTGCTGGGGATGCATGGATTAAAACGATTTGGATGACACATAGAGACGGAGAGAGATAAATGATCCTCCAAACGCCCCCAACTCATTTCTCGACCCTCCATCCAAGAAGCAGCGCGGCTTTTTGGGGGGGCCTCACGCGGATCGTATGAGAGTTGTGTCTGACATTCTCTGTCCCATGGCAGCCCCCAGCACTTTCCGCGCTGAAGGGGAGCCGAAAATTCCAAGCAAACAGGACACACGGCAGACTGGGACGCCTACATCGCACGTAGCTTCTGAATCCGCCTTGTGAAGACCCTCATGAAGCGATTGCTATAAAGACGCCTACACATGGATGGCGGCCAGTCCCTCCTACACAGTTCACCACGGAACCAGGTGTTCTGGAGATTTCAGGAGCATGTTTGTATCTTTCTGAGGTATGCTGCTGTGCTCGGTCCAGAGTCTTCAGATTGGCCGGCGTTATGCGCGTTTTTGGATCAAACACTGCCAGTCTTCCAGTTCTTAAACTCAAAACCTGGGGAACCTTCTCAAGTGAGGAGGAAACAGTGGCTGGCCTTGCAAAAGGAAGGTCGTTTTCGGTCTTGGGAGTCTGGGGCTTTCTCGGCCTTTGCCCAGGATGCCAGGTGCCCAGGTGCCCGAAAACGAGAAACTAGGAAGGTGATGCCCAGCTGACAGTGACAAAGTGCTCCATGTGTGAATCACTTCTCCGGAAACCACACCACTCCTTGGCTACACTGGTTGAACAAAATGTGTGGGCTGAAGCAAGGAGATGCGCAAGGCTCCCCCCACCTCACTGGCTTTCTTGGGGTGCCAACATGCGCTAACCTGCCTCGTTTCAAGGTGGCGAACCCCTGAAACTCACATTTGAAGCCGCCAGCTGAGTACCTGGGTGACACGTTGCAAGCTCAGGGCCGCTAGGAGCCTGATAAGGCCAGGGAAGCGTCCGGATCCAGGGGATCCAGCTTCTGCCTCAGGGAGGCGACGGGCACGTCGCGAGAGAAGCCGTCCTCCATCTTCACGGTCCGCATTTCCGGGCGCCAATGCAACCATTCCCTTCTGCTCGAGTGAATCGCTAAACAAATAACCCCCAAGTCAAGGTGGAAGATCCTTTTTGCATGGCAAATGGTCAACTTGGGTTGTGGGCAAGCGTAGGGCAAACACTGGCTTCTGGATGCTTCTGGTAATTGTTGCAAAGGCCTACCCCGGCCTGGAAGAACCCCATCTAGCCTTCTTTCCTATATGTCTCAAGACTTACACTACTGGACACCCTCCCCAACTCTGCCTCAACATGACGATGGCGCACTTCCACCAAGAGCTCCTGAAAATCAAATTCCTCACCGTCCGCCCCAAGCCCCCCACATTCCAAACCCACCGAGCGTCTGATTGTCCTGCAGAAGTTTCCCCACCTTCTGGAAAGCTCTAACGCCGGCGCTTTCCTCCGCGACCGAAGTGAATCCCAGCAGGTCAGTATGGAGTGAAAAGTATGAAGGACTTGTGGGAGGTCCACCAACCAGGCGGTAGGCCTTTCTGGGTGGCAGTCACAGCCGCAGTATAGGGCCTAATGGTTCCCACCACAGGACGGCTCCCGGCTCGGGACTAGAAACAAGGTCCCAAAAACGATTGCAAAAGCCCAAATCAAAGAATGCGCCGATCGGGTGGTTCGGCACGCCTCCCATGATGTAGCCGATGACAAGTTCTATGCAGCCGATGACAGCAGAACCACCCACACTCCCCTCCCCTGATCAGCTGGTTCGTGTAGAGTCACAAAACCAATGGAAAACGCTCCAGACACGCGATTTCCATGGGGCTTTGCCACCTGCACTGGATTCCGCCGAACCCTCCGTGGTCCGTTCGGTCCTCGTAGGCCTCGGTCCAAGCTAAGATCTGATCGTAGTTGGGCTTCGTTTCCGACTCCCCTGCGGCCGGGGCGAGGCCCGTAGGACGCCCCAACAGTGAGGAGTCTTTCCACTTTCACCTCAACAGTGCTGCAACAGCCTGACTGGCTTGATCCAGTCTGGGGGGTTGCACCTCCTTCCGGCATGGATCTCAATGGGCCAAAGCAAAATAAATGGAGGTCTTCTCGAAAACGGGGACCTGGGATTCATGGTTACATTGGGAGTTATCCCAAGTGCGTTGACGGTCTACATTGATTGGAAGTTGCCTTGTGTTAAAGGACATCTGAGATTCTGGGAGCTCCCTGCTTCCAAGTCAGGCCATCACCCAAGCAAGTGCGTGATGGCCGGTAGTAGCCAAGCATGAGCTGCCTGAGCCCCTCCGACCACAAGTTGCACCTGGCCTAGCTTCACCAAGTTGTAGTTCAAGTCCTGTGAGAATATCTCTTGTGCGGCGCAGCGGAAGTCGCGGACCCCAAACCAGTGGATTGGTGGTCGGAACCAGCCTCTTATGGAAACACACTGCTGGAGGTGCTTTAGAAGCAACCTGCCGTAAGTCTCCAAGTGAACCACTCTCTTCCAAACAGAGGCTGTAGCCTGTCAAGCTTGCCATCAGTTCAACTGTGACTATTGCTTAAGTCTCCCTCCAACCCTTGCAGTGTGCAAATTTGGTCCTCAATCCACAATTCCCATGGAAAGGGGTAGGCGCGGAAAAAGGTCACTTGCCAGTTGTTGATGGGAACTAGCTGGTAATAGTAGCTCTGCTGAGCAAAGACCTTGCAAATCTCCAGCCTCACATGCAGCTGCAACGGCAAGTCCAAGCCAGTGTATATATAATCAACCCTAAACTTCACCACCAATCGGAACAGTAACCAAACTAGGGTCATGCTGACGACCAAAAAAGAGCAAACACCGACGCCGTCAAAACTCTCCCCAACATCTTTCTAGGGTCAAATCTTCAATCTCTGGCGACTTGGAAAGGCAAAGGTGTGATGCTACCAAGCCACCCGACATCTGAATTGTCATAGAAATCGGCCCCCATGTTCTCCACTCTCCACCCTGCTGCCGCATTCTCGGGGTTGGTCACCACCACCAAACGATCGCCCATGCTCTGAAAGAAGTTGCTGAACCTGGTCGTGCTGATGAGATGGATCTGCTAAATCCTCTTGTTACAGTATGGGGAAGCTCGAAACCAACACACCACTAAACCACATGTGCAATGTGCACCTGAAGTACCCCGGAACAGCCCAAAAAGAAACGTAGGGACCGGTGGCTTCGCGTGGCTTCCGGTGGGTTGGTTCACGTAGGGACCGGTGGCTTCGCGTGGCTTCCGGTGGGTTGGTTCCTTCCCCCCACCAATGTGAGCGCAGGGGCTCAGGTCCTCCAGGAATGGAGTCGACCAAGCGGTGAGTCGACCACATCCAGGGATGTCGCGCAGCGAGCGCATAGGAAAATGCTGGGCGTTGACATCTGCAAACGACCAACCTGCCTCTGTATATAGGTTACAGTTGTAGTTTGGTGCTACGACCAGGCACACATTCTAGTCGTCCAAGGCGGTTCTCCATCAAAAGAACACACAAAGACCCAAGCACACCGCACCAACAAAGAGCAAATGAACATGCAAGTCATTCCCACCTCAACTAGAGAAGAATCCGACAGCAAAATCCCGAAAGCAAGTATATAATCCCCGACCAGCCAACAAAACTCAATATCGAAATCTGATCATCTACAGACATCTCCTTCATCCATTCGAGGAGCTTGGGCGAAGTCACTACTTCTCTGGAAGGTAAATAGAGCACGGCAGCATCCATCAAGGCATTCTCCGCCTCTCTGTACAACAAGGTGGTCACATCCTCATCTACAAGAGATGTCTTCCTCAGTTTGGCGGTACGGCAGTTCCTCGCGTGGCAGTGGAAAGCCACTTGCCCCTCTCTTGCCCTTATTATATTGAGAGGTTGGGCTCTACTCCCATATCTGTGCTTGGTACATGATGGCTGGCTGGGTCCTCATTCCTAGAAATAGCGGCAAAGGATCTTTTTGTCCACCCTTTGGTCGACCAGGTGGAAAGTGACAAGCCTCAAAAAGGATTGGTGGGAAGCGGATTGGTGCTTTAGCAGACCGTCTTGGGAATCCTTGGAGTGCAGTTTCCAGTGGCCAGCTTATAATCCAGCTGTGGGCAACGACTACGTTGATCTACAACCACTGGCAATCTGGGTTATTTGTTGCTGAACTCAAAGAGTACAAATGCCTGGACACTCATGATCCTCCTCCACAATTGCTGGGTTCCACTGACAGTTCCACAATGGGTTGCGCACCTCCATCTTTGGGTTCTTCGGATTCTGGGAGACGGACAGCATCCACCAAGGGACACTCCCGTCAGGTAGAAAATGGACTGCTCAATCACAGCACACCTGTCTGGTCTGCCAATTTGGTTCAGCAAACCTGTCTGCCTAGGGACACTTGCCTGAGGTACTCTCCATTCCACAGCTTGGTGGCAAAACTTTTGGCCAACGGCAAGCTGGCCTTGAGCAAAGCACTCCTTAGTACAGGGCCATGAGACGGTAAAACTCTTGTCACATTGTCCTTTCGTTCCGCTTCGTCCTGATTTTTGTCATCACTTGCATGGCTGTGGTGAACAAGCACGAAAGATGGTAGTCGGCACCCACCATGCCCGGACAAGACACTACAGACGAAGACAACTGCCCATCTTCCAAGCACCAAACCTAATGGTGCACCACTGCACCGCTACGTGGTCTGACCTCGGCACCTCTCCTGCCAAGCTTCAAGTCCTCCTGCCCACTGTAGGCAGCATCCAACCGCAGCCGCACGGCCTGCCGCGTGTAGCCGTCTCGGTAGGCGCGCATCACGGCCTCAGCCGCCTGCCGGCACATGGCCTCCGTGGAGTTCGGCAGCTCTGGCCGCGCGAGCGCAGACACCTCCTGCCGGAGCCAAAGCCGGCCACGCAGGCCAGGTTGAAGCTAGTCCAAAACCTTTTCAAGGTTTGGTTTTTGCATAGGATTATCAGGGAGATCCAGCGATCCGGAGTCTAATCACTAATCCCTCAGCGGTGGTCTGTCCCATTCTTCCCTGGTTCAGATGGAGCTGACCGAAGAAGTGACACAGCAGAACCAAGCACACAGCAGCACTTGAAACGATCATCACAAAAGGAGCTGTGCTTAAGCTCCTTTTTGCAGGACCCCCCAGCTCCTCAAGCTCCAATGCCTTCCTGGGCATCAGGCTCCGCGCCCTCTCACGGCGCTCCACGGTGCTCTCGGGGCCTCGCCCTGAGACGAAGCCAACAAGGCCGCCCAGCGCACCCAGCGCGCCCAGCACCAGGGGAAGAGGAAGCCGCCGCCTCCGGGAACTCGGCATGGCGCTTTTGGTTCAGCCGAGCTCGGCTGAAAAACCTTGAAACACGCCCTGCGGGGCTCGGCGCGTTGGAGCCAAGGCCGAGAGCAAAAGGAGCCCCGAGGATCCGTGATGTTTTGGGGCTGAACATAGTGGCAAGTCGCAAGTATTAAGTATGGATGTGTGAGGCTTCGAGCCTTCCAAATCTTCCGCCCAAAGACTCCCGGCCAGTCGCCTGCGTCAAACCTTGTCGGGCAAGTCGCTCGTAAGTGAGGATGTTGGGGTCTCATCCCGCCACGCCACACATCAGAAAAGTCCAATCAATCAACAGGGTCCTACTGAAAAAGTTATGTCTTGGACTGCCACCCAGTGAAAGGCAACTTGGATGTGTCAGCTAGTGCCCGTACTCCATTTGACCCCAAAACCAAACGGCCAACCGATCCCACAGTATGGGGATGCTCGGACGTGTGAATTTTGAACCTTCACATCCCACAGATTATATATATATATCCAAAGCTCTCCCGACTTCGTGCAGAATGAGAATGAGAGTGTCACAGTATCAAGGCACCACTTTTAAAAAATGTGGTTTCATGCAGCTGCAGCCACGCTCCCTGATCCTTGCAGCATCTTTGGGACCACCGGCCCATGGGCACTGCACGCAGCTGTTTTCGGTCAACATTGGCAGATGGCATTGATGGCATAGGTTCGTTGGGGGTTTCATTGAGACCCCCAGCCGGCAGAAAAGGCTGCACAACATTCTTGCACCACCCCCGCTGAAAAATATCACGCAAACATCGATCAATCGAAGTCTCTACAAGTTTACAGTAAGACTCCAAATCGGTGCTTCTTGATGTTGGGGTTTGCCCCCACAAGCAAGGCTCGTGCTGACCGAGCCCTGTGGTGTGCGAAGCTCTGGGCGGATTCAACGCGGTCGAGCTCTCTCTCTCTCTCTCTCCCAGGTGGTTTGCTGCCTGTCTTTGAGGCTTCGGAGGGGCGCGGCCGGCTCCAGGAGAATGCGGCCGGTTCAGTGTTAGTTCCCCAAAGAAATAAAGAAGACAAGGTGGTCGAAAGAGTCCCTGACTGTTCAAAGAATTCTTAGACCGGCATTTGATGGAAGCCAATGTGAGTTTTGTGGCAAACCCACATGGTTTGCCGGATGTCTTCCACGCACCCGGCATCAACAGATGCTTCACCATTCTCAAGCTCTGAAGCTCAGCCAAGAACCTCGGTTTGGGGTCTCACTGTCCTTTGTGTTCGGAGCTTCACATTTAGAGCTCTTTAATTCCCCTCGTGGCCCCCTCTTCTTTCTTTCTCGTCTTCTTTGTGTTTTTGTCGTTCCTTTTATATGCTCCTTTTTTCTTCTCCTTTCCTTTCTCTCCCCATCTGGCAAAGAGACTGTAGGGAACGCGACATGTCACACAGCAAGAAATGGATAACATTATGGGCAATGTGCCTATCTTGCGAGATTCAAGGTGGCAAGGGGATCTGCGGGTTCTATAAGTGTAAACCTCGCCCGCGGCACACGGCCATCGCATCTTCCTACTTCCGGCTGCCAACCAAAACCGGTCAGATGGCTGTGGAGGGAAGCCGGAATGAAGCCATCTTCCAGATCCACCCATACTCATTCAGAAGGATGAACCACAACAGAAGACCATTGGAGCCGGTCAAACCGAGGCCCCACACCCAGGTGAGATGTGTCGCATGGCCACTCTGCGGCTGGTCAAGGAGGCAGGGACCTGGCATGTCATCCTTCAGAATGCTCAAAGAGAGGAAGAGGAAGAGGAAGAGGAAGAAGAAGAAGAAGAGAAGGAGAAAGAGAAGGAAGATCTTCAGAAGTCACAAAAAAAAGAAACATGTTTTTACGGAGCTTTGATGAGTCTATGCAGCCGATTGCAATGAGAAACGTGAGGCAGCCCAGAGGTCTATGCGTGGGGAAGTGAAACGAAAAACCTGTGGAAATTGGACCTTCGAAGATTCCGTAGTTGCGTCGTTGCATTCAATTCACGAATCTTGCACGGGTGGAAGAGATACAAATGAGCATGAAGGATATTCTCCATTCCGGTTCCTTCATGGTCTTTTCCTTCCAGCGAGCTTCCTTCCCCGACAACCTACACGTTTGACCCGTTTGCCCTTAGAGGTAGAGAAACCTCCCCCACCCCTTGGCCCTCAATGTGAAGAAGCAATGGCCTCCGCCGTTGCTTCTTCGAGCCCGCAACAGTTCTCGTCATTAAAGATGAAAGGAAACCCCAATTCTTATTCTTCACAAGCACTTGTGTTGACCCAGACACTTTCAAAAACCACACCCAAAAAAAGACTTATATAACTACTCTCGTGGGTGTTAGCTGGGCACTGTGAGGTTGCATAAACTGCATAAACCTCACGGAATTGTGCCAGAAAGAAATCGTTCTCGTTGCCAACAATGTTTGAAACATGTTTAGTCCGATGAGGGCCACGCTCAAACTTAGACGACCAAGCACCCTGGTGTGCGCCGCGCAGCATGGATAAACCCTTCTTTTTCGCAACAGGCTCGTCCGGACACGCTCAGAATCTCAAAAAGAAGCGGTCCGCCACCTGCCACACTCGCAGCACTCGAAGCCGATACAGCTTTGAGTTAGCAACGTTCTGAGCCACCGTAGGCCCAAAACGGGAAAACTAACCTGCAAAAATAGTGATTCTTTTTACGAGCGTCACATGAGTCTAGGCTCTTGTGCTGAACGAACGCCACTTCAAATCCTGATGTCCTATGCAAACGAAGACGGCCAAAGACAACTGGAGACAGCCAGAACCCCAGCATACCAGGAGACACAGCACACCCGAAGACAGCCGCAAACAACCAGAGACGCCGCCTCCCAAGCAAACCGGAGACAAGTGGAGAAAACCCTACGACCAGCAAAAGCACCCTTTCAAAGGCGCAAGAATTCCCTCACAGGTAAACCTGTTGGTGAAAACAACGTGTTAGACTGGTGGTTGTCATTGTCATTGTTCTTTGCTTGTTGCTTCCCCAAAGCCACGTGATGCCCTGGTTGCCGGAACGGTTTCCCCAGGTGTTGCAAATGTATGTACTCTCCTTTGCTGCCGGTGGGGCAGTTCGGCAGTTCCATCTCCAGAGTTGTACTGGGACCCCATCCCTCTCAAGACCCGGGTGACAATCGTAGGGAAAGACACTGACAGCCAACGAAACCTGCACGGGTCAGTTGACCCAGGAAACCTGCCCCACCAAAGCGGCTGGGTGGGGTTTTGGGGATGTACCACGGGCAAGTGATCCAGGTCCACCAACCGCATCTTCCAACCCCATCTTTCCAGTGACCCCGGGACCGGCAAACCATCCAGACCTCGTAGAAGTAGAAGATCAACGCGTGGGAAGGGATAGCACGAAGGCAGGTGATCCCGCAACCTTTGTAGAGACCTTTGACGCCCTCCTGGTCGATCGAGTCGACGCGAATAGCGCCCATTCGGGGCGAATAGAAGGGTGGACCCGAAGCAGGCGATCCCAGGAAGACCGAAACGGAACCGCAAACGAACGCATACATCATACATCTTTGGACCAAGGATTTTACATCTTAACATCAGATGTATATTCCTTACATCCTTACATCTTTCCAATGTGTTGATTCCATACATCGGTGCATCAAGGAGACCCCCCTTCAAGGTGAGGGCTATCCATGCTTCAGAGGCAAGAACTGCAGACGAGCCCTCGAGATGCCCAAAAGACTCCAAGGAGCGAGGAGGTCGACAATTCTTCGGCCTTTTCCGGTCTCAACTTTTCTAAAGATTCGATTCGAGGCACCCAAAACACCCTGTGTGACTTTTTCCTGGAAGTCAATTCCTTCAAGACCAGGGCGTCCCTCAGATTGCATAGTATTGCTTGCTTGAATCCAATGTTTGCATGACAGCAGGGGGTATCATGCAATTGGTCCATGATTCATTCTCTCCTTCCTGACAAGTCCTTGCGGACCGAACTGGGCAGCTTGTGACCAGGAAGCAGATGTAACATGATGCAAGCCCCAGGCTTGCCTCACCAACTCGGACCACCAGTTACCCATGCGAGTCCCAGTCCAAGGTATGGAAGACAAATGAAGAACCAGACTTCTCCGATCTTCATGACCCCCCGTCCTCTTTGAGGATGGTCTTGAAGACCGAGATGAAAGACTGGCTCTGGAATCGTGCATCCGTCCTGACAGTGGCGATCGGAGAAGCGGAGGAAGTAGAGCGGTCAATAGAAAGAGGCGCCACCCCGTGGTTCAAGCGGTCGAACATGATGCAAACTCTTGCTTTGGATGTAGAGAATGCAGAGCAAATCATCCCAGCATATCCCATCCCATCCTGGAAGAGGTTCAATCATACGGCAATCACCACTCATCGCCAACCGGACCATCCCCAACCCTCGTCCATCGGTTCAGTCACGGTGTTTCCGACCGCTAAGGCGGCGACTGGATCTTCGACTTCACGGTGTCAGCAGGGAAGGGCAGGGCCCAGTAGGCCACGCCCGCCGCGGAGCCCGACAGGGCAGACCACTGGAGGGCGACGTCCTTCTTCTTTTCCAACTGCTGAGCCTCCTGAACCAGTCCTGAACGGTGTTCGGAAGGGGGGGAGGAAAGCAACCAGTCCAAAAAGGCCTTGTGATGCATTCATGGTGCGAGATTAGCAAGAAGAAGGTTCTTGGGTCCAACGGGTAGTCTTGCGAAGCGGATATCCTTGGCACACAAAACACTGATGGGTCCAAAATGCCCATAGGAAGCACAGTGTGACATGATGCGATGCACGGCTGGTGTGCCACTCGTGATTCTGCGACCTGTAACTCTAGCCAGCTAGCAGCAATATCAGTCAGTACTTGGGGGGTGATTAGTGGTGATCTCCAGTGATTTGGCCCCAAACCACCAGCTGCAACGCACCCACGTCGAGCTTTTGTTCAATTACCGTATGTATGTATATATATATATATATACAGTATATACCATGACTAGCCTCCTTTCAGATGGGTTGGATAGACGGAAATTCACCACTTGAAAAGTCGGAGAGATCTGAGATACCCCCTCGTCACACCTGTTCGGCATCAGCTTGTCCTCTCTCTCTCTCTCACTCTCAATCCTCCAGGGTTGTGTAGGCAAAAGGTCGAGAAAGCCAGTCCATGATCCCAAAGATTCCAAAAGAAAGCCCGCAAGAGGATGCGTCTTTTGGTTCGGCGTGTGGCCGCAAATGTTGGTCAAAGAAGAATCAAGTACACTGGTACACTGGCCGATCACATGTGAAGCGGGCGCCAGTGTATCTATATAGTGATGTATAGCGGCGATACTCACAGCGGCGCGCTGTGAGCAACACATGCCAAAGGAATCTTCACTCCTCCCCCAAGTAACATCGCACTTTAGAAGAACGGGTGCAGTTCCCTGGAAAACCAACTTCTGGGATTTTTTGAAAGCTAACTCGGTGAGTTTAGAGGAGAGCCAAAACCCTGGTGGCCAAGAGTCTCATGCCAGCTTCATAGACCCCAAACCAGGCCTCGGACGACTCAGAAAGAGTCTTCGGATGGGATGGGTGGAGCCCAAATGGGAAAAAACATCGACATTATATATATATATATATGTATACATGTGTGTGTGTGATTATATGTGGATAGAAACAGCACATCCAAATAGGGTTCACCTTTCTATCTCATTTGGGGGTAGCCTTTTTGTCGTATCAAACGATAAACAGGTGGACATCGTGCCACCTAGGACATGGTACCATCCAAACACAGGACCAAGCTTCTGTTGTTCAGTGGGCCGATTCATGCTCAGTCCACTTGAGGATGACGACTAGG